AGTTCGCACCATTCAGGAGAACCAGTTGTTAACTTTCTGAGCAGTTTGGCGAACTGGCTGTTGGAAGAAATCATTAGGGCAGAGAACCAGTTGTTAAATTATTTGAATCCCACCACTGCATTTGTCCCAATATAAGACAGAGATTCAAAGCTAATGTGCTATGCTTTGGTTCTATGGTGTGCAGTTCATAACCTTTTTTTTTTAAAGAACTACAGTCTATGCTCTGAGTTGTCTGTCAAATGCATTCAGCCTTAATTTTGGCGAACATCAGTATCTAATCCACTGTCTGAAACATTGGGTAAAACTGTCTATCTTGGTGTGTTTCTTTGGCTGATTGAAGTTTTTCTGATGGCTTGCTTTTAGAGGTGGGTATTCAGCAGGTTCTGACAATTTCTGGAGAATCGGTAGCAGAAATTTTGAGTAGTTCAGAGAACCGGCAAATGCCACCTCTGACTGGCCCCGCCCCCATCTATTCTCTGCCTCCCGAGTCTCAGCTGATCGGCTGCGTCTTCTTTTGTTGCCCTGCACAGGAGAACGGAGCTGGAAAGCAGGTTAGTGGGGTGGGGAGGGAATGGGATTTTACAGTATCCTTCCCCTGCCATGCCCACCAAGCCACGCCCACCAAGCCACACCATGCTCACCAAGCCATGCCCACAGAACCAGTAGTAAAAAAAAAATTGACTCCCACCACTGCTTGCTTCCCCTCTGGAATAAAGGTACAGCCTCGGATTTTATTGACTGTGGCCCCTCTGTTCATGCCCCAATAACACCTGAGTGTGAGAAAGAGTGTAAGCAAGTCATGGAGTGAGGGATTTAAAAATCCTTACTACTGTGATGAGTATCTGCCTAGCAGGCTATTCTTTACACCTATCTCTTCAGCTTTCTTCCTGTTGCACATATTTATAGTGTTTATGTGTACAAACCACACTCCCTTTGTATGCATTTTTGTGAGCAATGCACATGTGCATTTTATATTTTACTCCATTAATTTTGAACAATTTTGAACAATGCTTTTAATGGATTGTTTCCTAATGTATATGTTTTGTACTAATTTTTCCTTACTAAGCATATTTGACAACCATTTTTCAAACGGTGAGCTGCATCACTAAAGCATGGATTCCAGCATGCTGGCATGCTGTGTTGTGTTTTTCACAGAGGTTTAGGAAGTATAAATATAATAAATTCTTACTCAGGTTGAAACATTTCTCATGCACTTCTATGCTCAGTTTTATGAAGTATGGTATACTTGGATTTTTTTTGCTATAAGAACTTCAGGATTATGATTTATAAATACATTATTATTCTGTTCTTTTTTCAAGATGGCATACATCCTTCCTATACGTTTGCCATATATCCAGACACTGTTCCTTTAGAATGTCTCTGATGCTATCTGCCCCTGAGTGTGTAACTAATCCAAGGTCAACAAATGATCTTCATATCTATGAAGATTTAAACCCAATTTGCCTGATCACAATCCAACACTTATAAAGAGGACTGATAACATGCTGTGCTCAACATGACATCTGTTTTTACTTATTTTTGTGGTATAAGGATGTAATTCTCTCTACTGACTAGCCAAGGTATTTATTATAATTGGGTATTCATTCAAGGTATTTTGATTCAGATGTACTGCGATAGCAATACTGACATGGGATTATTCACTCAAGGAAAAAAGAATCAAAAGAAAAATTATCAGGAACACCAGCACAAAATATTTCCAAAGTATTTCTGCAGGCAGTACATAGGCGGTTAAATATTTTCTGTCCTTATTCCATTATAACATGAAACATCCACCCTTACTTTCCCTGCCCAATAATCATAATCATAAACAATTTATTAGCATTCTGAATAACATCCCTTGATTTCTGAAATTAAGCAGCCTGTGGATTGCAATAACCACAATATATAATAGACAAACACAGATATTGTTATTCACGTATTTCCTTTCCCTGCAGAGACATAGCCAAAGGATATCACATGACCCTGAGACACTTTGCAAGCATCGTAACTATGAACAAATTGTCAAGCATCCGAACTGATCATGTGACCACAGGGATGCTATAACGGTTGTAAGTGTGGAAAACAGTCATAAGTCACTTTTTCAGTGCTGTTGTTAACTTAAAACGGTGACTAAGTTAATTGTTGTAAGTCGAGGACTACCTGCAATATGTAACAGCTTCCTGTGGGTCAGACAATATACCCTAGATCAGGCTTGTCCAACCCGCGGCCCGCGGGCCGCATGCGGCCCAGGTCACCTCGTAATGCGGCCCAGTGCCCACCCCAATCTTCTGGCAAGAGCCAGCGAGGAGGAGGAGGAGAGGCAGGCGCGAGGCGGGGCGAGGCGAGCGCCACGCCAAGAAGCAACAGAAAAGGCGGGCGCCGCCTTTGCTGCTTCTGCCCCCGCCGCCGCCTTTGCTGCTTCTGCCCCCGCCGCCGCCGCTTCTGCCCCCGCCACCGCCCCCCCCACCCCGCTGCCACTGCCCCCCCCACCCCGCAAAATTTGGCCGGAAAATAAATAATTTTTAATAAATAATTAATAATAAATAATAAAAATAATTTATAATTTATTATATAATTTTATAATATAATTATTTTATAATAATTTATTATATGTGCGGCCCAAACCAAATTTTCATCTTCTAATGTGGCCCAGGGAAGGTGAAAGGTTGGACACCCCTGCCCTAGATGATAAGCCAAACTTTTAGAGGAGGACGCCTAGAAGATGAAAGTCTATTGTAATTAAACTACATATACTATTACATATTTCACACACCCACACTGAGTTCTACTCCCTACCTCTGTGATCTAGGGCAAGGGTCCCCAATCCCTGGGCCATGGCCCGCTACTAGGCCACAGCCTGTTTGGAAATGGGCTGTGCAGGCAGCGGGTGAGCGCATGCATACAAATTTCCCTTTGTGCAGGAAGCTCCCTTCACATGAGTGGCAGGTGCGTGTGTCTGTTGCTTGCACAAATAAGTGTGTGCCTGCCACTTGTAGGGAACTATCTCCTCTTCTCCCCCTGCCGAAGCCAAAAACTGCTGATCTATGGGATGTTTCTTCTCTGTCCTATCTATGCAGTTTTGCCAAACCACCTGAGGCCACTTAGCTTTTAATCATGTTTAAAGAAATTCACAGGTACATCTTACTGACACCTAACTTCAAGGTTCAATCAAAATCAATTTGGTGAGTAACCTCTTTGCTAGGAAAAGAAACTATTCCCTGAAGGGTCGCAGGTGGCATATAAAATAAATAAAACAACTTTAGCAAAAATGGAAAGGTTCAAGTACTATGGCATTTTAAAAAGAATGATCACTGCTAAAGGAGAAAACAGAATGATCTAGGTGAAATAGTTATTTTGCCTCAAGTTGCATTTTGGCATATTAAAGTGTGGAAATGAAAAAAAAATGTTACATCATCTTTTGCTTGAATCAGAAACTTTTCTTATGAACAGATTTACCATAATAATGCTCATGAATTGCAGAGTCATTCCACATTGAAGTCTAGAAAAACCTGAAGAACTACAGAAAAGGAATTAAATTACTTATTGAACAAACAACAGTAACAGTTTGCTGTTGTTTTTAACACATATTTTACAAATCTGTTCAATAAAATAAAATAATCCATCCAGTATTATGTACCCTGATTGGAAAAAGGACAATTGCCCAGTTCTGGTACTTGAAGCATTAACCTCCCTGACACTCATGATAGAACACATAGTTAAATGACTACTATTCATCACCTTAGATAAGGCTGATATCCATAGTTCTTACAAAAACACCACTGCCTTTAGTTATCACAAAGAGTGGGACAATGATGCAGTGACAAAGTTGGAGCAGTCACGACCAACAAGTTCAACCCACTTTTCGGAGAGGAGTGATCAAGATTTTTGAATTTAAATAAAATACGGGTTCTAAGCCTACTGAAGATTTAGTGCACCTCTTTTGCTTTTGGGTTGAGTAAATAACTTATCGGAAATCACACTGGTAAATTACAGAACCACGATCTAGGAGCGGCCCTGAAGAATAAAAAAAGATGAGGCTAGACACAGAACAGGAGCATCTACAGGAAGAGGGCTCTGGTCACGTAGTTCATTTTTTTTACATTTTTACTTGTGGATATCTCTCACAACATATAGTCTAAAGACTACAGATTATTCATCCCTGATTTAGAAAGTGAATTTACAATGTTTGGATTCAGCTGTTGCCACACGTTCTCAACCAAACAGGCCCCTGTGGGCCTGTTTCTCAGTATGCATAGGAGACGTCTTTCTTTGGTTTTCCAAGTTTCCTTTTTACAACTTCTCCCAAGTAGAAATTGTTCCATAGTTCTGATTATGATGGACTTTTATTAACAGGTTTGGTGAAATGAAAAAAAAAAGTAATTTGAGATGTGTCACGTCAGCTTGGAATTATTGAATAAAGATCACCTTTTATCAGAAAAATCATGAGTGAGTAATTTTTGGCTCTAATGCTTCTTGCCATTCCAACAATTACCCTGTTTCTCCAACAATACGGCCTCCCCCAATAGGAAGTCCCAGCATATTTTATAGGCATGAAATGAAATTAAGCCCCTCCCCCCCAAATTAAGGCCTATATTAAAACATGCAAAATGGGGGGGAATGGTGGGGGGGCTTGCTGTTAGGAAGTACTTTTGTTGCACACCCGGATATGGTGCTGCCTGCGTTGACCCCGATATGAAGTGCCCCACCAACGCCGAGGTCAACATCCAAGCCGTCGCCACCCGCCCACCCAAAGATGCAAGGGGGGGGGAATTAAGTCACCCCTGAAAAGACAGCCTAGCCATTTTTTCAGGGCTCAAAAAAATAAGACTCGGCCTTATTATATGAGAAACACGGTAGTTCAGTGATTTTTCTTTACCAGACTGATATCCCTGATTAATCTTTCATCTTGGTAAAACAGAGAAAAAGATTTGGCTACAACTTTCTCATTGCCATTTGATTTCACGGTAATAGCCAAGAAGAAGAAAAAGGCTGCATCTTACCTTTTCTGCATCTTGTTCAAAAAGTCGAAGTTGAAAGCACTGATCTAGTTTCAGCTTACGGACATGCCACATCTGATGCAAGTGCTGTCGTGTTGAATGCAGCTTATCTAAAAGGCTGGTAATCTTTGGCACAAGACTTTGGAAATCTGCACTGCCAGGAATGCAGTTCCTACCAGAGAAACCATCACTGCATCTTATGCATTGTAATAACCGTTGACCTTCACGGTCCAATTCTTCCACTGGAGCTTTGATTACTTTCTTCTTGAGCTGGGTATGTTCATCTATTAGTCTTCTTGAACCCTCCACATCCACTGGAAATTCCTTCCTAGCCAGCATTTCCTGAAGGTCCTCCAGCCTGGATAATAAATGGATGGCACTATTGAAAAATTCTTCCAAGGAAACTCTCAGCTCTATCCATTCATCATGATTGTAATCCAGAGTTCCTTCAAACTCTTCTGTTAGTTGGGAGGGATCAACCAGTTTTGTTAAACCTTCAACGGAGACCATGCTTGTCTAAGGAGTTAAAAAAAAAAGGGTGATTTAGTTTTTAAGCAATTATATAGAAATCCTGTAACAATTAGGATACCATTAACTATTCATCAGACAGTATAAGCAAGCAGGAAAAATGCTTAACAGCCAGATAAGAATACATCCTATTTTAATAGGGCTGTGAATTGTCTTTGCCTTGGCTCTCACAACCACAGGGGAAAAGAAATGGACCTTGTGAGAAAGAGAACTCATGATTGTGGTGGCCTCATCAGTGTTACTAGAAATCAGCAAGAAATGAAGCATTGCTTCTGCCCTACATAAATTCCTTTGGCATGGACCCTATGCCCACAACTAATATTATGAAAGTACATTTTTACCTCTCCATCAACATACACAATCAGGATGCCTTCATAATGGGGGATCATTTGAAAAACTGGATAATTTTGCCCACCTGTTTTCACACTATACAGCCCTTTTCACAAAATCCACACACTAGATACTACTTGTTATGAAAGCTGTGTATATATATATATATAAATTTTCAGCAGGAGTGTTCAACCTAAAGGCTTAAAACTTCGTGTAGCTTCCTAAACTTTTGATACAGCCCAAAGAGCCTCTCCAAAGGATGTCACCAATTGTAATTTTAATTGACAGGAGGGAAAATGATTGCTATATGTATAATAATGTATTCATTGTGCTTAATTAAACACTGTAAATTAATTTATGTCCCCCCCCCAATGTACACAGACACTTTTCAAAATACAGCCCTCAATATGCCATTTAAAATGGTTCTTGTCCTCCAAAAATGATGTTTTAGAGGATATATTTAGAGATTATCTGGCCCTTTTTCAGTCAAGCTGTTTTAGCTTGGAGAAGTATTAATTCCTCTGATTGTCTTGGGGCAGGGGTCTTCAAACTTGACAGCTTTAAGACTTGTGGACTTCAGCTCCCAGAATTCCTCTTCCAGTCATGTTAGCTCAGGAATTCTGGGAATTGAAGTCCACAAGTCTTAAACTTGTCAAGTTTGAAAACCCTTGTCTTAGGGGATGACTTATGCTGCAAAGTAGATGCAATTTAGGACTCCTATTTTATAATGGCTCTAGGTCTTACTGTATCCTTGTTTCCTGTATCCTTGTTTCCTGCAAGACTGCATTTTTGCCTCCCATACTGCTCAGTATCTACAGTATATGAAACTGAAATTGGGGGAAATTCAATAAAAACTTTGACCCCAGGACTTCCAGTTTGAGCTTTTTCAGTGACAGACCGAAACCTCGTCTCTGCGAGGCTTCGATCCGTGCTCACCACTGGAGCGCCCGAGCTGGCTGGTTTCAGGGCTAAGCCACCCCGTAGAGGTAGTGAAGAGGGGGGAGACTGCCTGCAGGGTTGAGGAGAGCTGCATCTCTCCTCCCCACCTGGCCATTACTCCCTTTCCCGAAGGCGGTTGCAGCGGTGGTCAGAAATGGCCACCACAAAGAAGAACTCGACCAGAAAAGAATGTGCAGGAGGAAGATAAGAGGAGAAAGTTTTGGTTGACCGGGTCAAACAGCAAAAGCAACAAATAAGGTACCCTGGAATCGAAACTGTTACAAAACAATAACATTGTTCCCTAAGAAGATTTTTAAGCTGCAAAGGAGAGAGAAAAGGGAAAAGATTTGGTTTTCTCCTTTTCCTATACTGACAGCTAAGAGACTTAAGCAAGAAATTGGAAAAAAATCCACTTTGACATCAATAGGCATTTAATGCTGAAAATAAAAAGTCAAAGGGATAATAAAGATTTCTGGATAATTAAAAGCTTTTGAAAACAGGAAAGGAGAGAGGAAGAATAAAAGGGCAGGATCTGGAAGGGAGGAGACTGCCTGGAATTAAAAAAGAACTTACAGCAAAATATCAACAAGACTTCCAAAAGATACATTCTAACTGAAATATCGCAACAAAAACCCCAGGAAGAGAAAGTCAAAAAAGAATGACTAAAATCAATCGGGTGGTTGTTTAAAACTGTTTAAAATGGCTCCACTTTTAGAAGAACTGAAAATGGAACTTAAAAGGTACAAAGAAGATGCACAAGAAGGGAGAGGTTCTTTTGGCTTCGTATTTCAGTTTTTAGAAATGGAGATTTGGAATTATGAGAAACAACAAGAAATGCCTGCAGAACAAGAAGATTGTGACAAAAAAGAAGCCATCTTTAATGAACAAGTAATCTTAGATGGGGGGGGGAGGAAAGGGGGGAAAGAGAATGGAAAGTTTAAGACTGGGAAAAACAACTCCCCCCCAAAAAATAGAGTGAAAAATAAATATAAAATCAGAAAGCAACAGAAGAGGGAAATGCAGAAGAGAGAATTAGAACTAGAGACACAAGGGGGTAAAAAGAGGAGGGAAAAGATGAAAGGGAAGAAAGAAAGGAAAAGAAGTCATAAAGGACAGAAGCAAAATATAGAGAAACAGGGCCTATTTAGAGATAATGGGTGAAAACTTAATGGAAAAAGGGATTCTGCAAAGGTACATAAGATAGTATGGTTATATTAGAAACAGAAATAATTTTAGAAAATATGAAACAATGTATGATTAAAATGTCTGATAAAATAGCTATCGTAATTCAGTGGAATGCTTGTCAATAAATAAATGTAACAAAAGATATATTTAATGATTTATAAAACATATGTGAAGAGAAATAAGGGAAAAATTAATTATGGAGATTATATGTGTTTTTAAGGAAGTATGATATTTAATTGAAAAGAAGTGTTAAAGATGTTAAGATTTTAATTATTATTAATGATAGAACTGAACTGGAACGGAATGTAATTACATATATTTACAATCTTTTTTTAAAAAAAGAATATAGTGTGTATTATAAGAATGTACCAAGCAGAATTCGATTGGAAGTTATGTATTATGTATTATATTGAAGGTCATAAAGTTAAGGTATATATTGAAGTTTAAATTAGAGTTGAATGGATGTAATTAAAAGATATAAAGGTGTCATACTCCAATTAGTAACTACAGGAGAAAATTTGTTTAACGAGAAAAGATAATATGAAATTGAAACAGAACAGACAAAAGTATAAATATAATGATTTGAATTGAGATGAGATAATCAAAATAAAATTGAGAAAATTAAAAGAGGGGAAAAACTATATAGAAAATGTAAAATAGTATAAGATATGGAATAGAATACAAAAAGGAGCATGAAATTGAGTTTTGTGTCTGTATAAAGAAGTTCAACCTGGGACCATGCTATTTTCAAAAAAGATGTTTTACTTGTATTGTGTATGTGTGAAAACCCAAATAAAACTTTATTTAAAAAAAATAAAAACTTTGACCCTAATCATATTGCACCTTATTATCCACTTTCAAAAGGCAAATACTGCCTTGAACATTGCTTAAATTTGATAAAGTCCTGGATGAGGAAGAATGCACTGAGATTAAATCCAAATCAAAATGATTAGGTTTTTTTGATAAATAAAACATTTGACTTTGGGATGGAGATTTAGATTGTTTTGTTTAGTATGCAATCCCCATGAAAAGAATAGTTTCCAGTTTGAAAATACTCCTTGACCCTCATCTGTCTTTGAATTCATGATGGCTGTGACATGGTGTACATTTATACAGTTAGGACTACTACATCAATTACAGTATTACATCATCCATTTTTGAGATGGTCAGACTCAGCAACAGTTATCCATGCCTTGGCTACATTTCATCTTGATCTTTGCAGTGCACTAGACGGTATGATCTATGCTGGGTTATCCTTGAAGAGTTTGCAGAAACTGGAACTAATATAAAATATGTCAGCTAGAATGCTATACAGAACAAAATATAGGAATTATATGATGCCTCCACTGAAAGAATTACACTTACAGCCAGTGATTTAGTTGGTACAATTTAAAGTGATACTTTCGTCCCTTAAGGCCTTGAAGAGTTTAGGATTTCACAATATCAGGAGCCACCTGGGAGCCATGATGGTTCAGTGGTTAGAATGCAGTATTGCAGACAGACTCAGAGCCAGGAGTTCGATCCTGACCAGCTCAAGGTTGACTCAGCCTTCCATCCTCCCAAGGTCAATAAAATCCAAGGTCATATTGTTAGGGGCTGACTCTGTAAACTGGTCAGCGACTGCTATAAAGCACTATGAAGTGGTATATAAGTCTAAGTGTTATTGCTATTGCTAAACTGGAATTCATAGCTTCTAATACACTAAATATAATTCTTGCCTTTGATCCTTAAGTCTTCTGATACAAATACACTCCTAGCTGGGTAACTGATATAACACGCGAGACTCCCAACTTGAAATTGTTATTAAACAGACATCAGGCATGTGACTGCCAAAATATATTTCTCATTATTCTTCTCCCACTGGAATCTTCTTATTTCTCACTTCTTGAGTAGGGAGTCCGTTCCATTGTCTACAGTCGATTGTCCATAGTTCTGCATACTTCCAGTTCTTTCTTTGTTGGAATACTTTTTTAAAAATTAGCTTACCTTGACACACCTGCTAGATACCTTTTCTAATAGAGATTTTAGATTGTTTTTTTCTTTCTCACTTCACTGAGACCATTTTGTTTCCCAGATCTTTCCAATTCTTCTGCTCTGAGTTTTCTTGCCAAAAATTCTTACTGTTGATATTTTTTTTTTAGCTTAGGTGGTATATATAACTTGATGATTTTATCCAGACTGTGCAAAGCTTTGATAGGATGTTTCACTTCAACAATGCCTGAAGCAAAAATTCTTCAAAGTTGCTCCTTGAAGCGGTGCAATGCCTCAGGTCTAAAGAGTGGAATGTCAACCAATTTTGAAATCGTAGCACTATGATTATGTTTTTTCATATTCTACCTAGACATAAACAGCACTGCACAAATACATTGTCTGCTTCATTTGAAAAATTAGTATTTATTTATTTATTTATATCCATTGGCCGCCCAATTCCAATAGACTCTGGACAACATATAAAACTAGAAAAAAAAGCCCATGAAAATAGCTAAACAGTTATTTAAGATACATTTCTGCACTGTTTTTACAAATGTTGAGTCAGTAGATGGCATAGTACTATATTTCAAAAATGCACCATAAGCAGAGCATGTTAATTCAAACAGTTAATTCTTTACATTTAAATTCTAATTAAATTTAGGATAGGACATGTCGATGCAGGCTGAAAATTTCTCGCTTGCTTTTTCAATCTGTTTAAAATATTCTTCCCCAGCTATAATTGGTCTTTTTAGCATGAAGGTAGGAAAGGAGGCCTCTTTGTTTAAAGCATTCTGCAGATACATTTATTATTCAGATAGATTCTCCCTGGGGAATTCGAGATGAATAGGAATACATTATCAAACTTCATCAGAAAGGAAGAAAAGATGTGCAAGGACAAGGTAACATCCTATCAGCTGTCATATTTCTTTCCTGTTCAAATGCAACCAATCAAAACACAGCCTGCTCATTCAATCTTTTCAGGAGGAAAGAAAAGTAATTTGTAAAAAGCCTGAATTAATGACAAGGAGGCTTGTTGGGTCATCTCTAGTGTTAACAGGAAATTCCAGAAATCTGCATTTGTCAATCACATGTCAACCCTGCTGTTTTTTTTTGCTTACCAACAACTTGTGACTGACAGGCCCTGAAGGGAAAATAGGAGCATAAACCTGGCTATTACTGGGGTTCCTCAAGAGAAGTTTTTTTTTCTGTAGAAGCAGCTGTCAGAGCAACATACTTTTTGTTTATAATCTTTCCTCTTTGCCTAAGGGCAGTATCTTTCTTTCAAGTTGACATTGGCAGGTATCAGTGGACTTTTCAATGACTTATAGCTGCTAAATTGTATAGCTTGAATTTCTACCGACTGCCATTAAAGATCTATGCCTATATATTTTGCTCAGTCAACATAACAGTTAAGCCACCAACATGCAAGTGTATTGTTATGGATAGATTGTTCATTTGGGCACATGCAACTATTTATATTATTTTCTTTTAGAATAGAATAGAATAGAATAGAATAGAATAGAATTCTTTATTGACCAAGTGTAATTGGACACACGAGGAATTTGTCTTGGTGCTTATGCTCTCAGTGTACATAAAATAAAAGATACATTTGTCAAGAATCATAAGGTACAACACTTAATAATAGTCATAGGGTACAATAAGCACTCAAATCATACTAGGAAACAATCAATATAAATCATAAGGATACAAGCGACAAAGTTACAGTCATACAGTCATAAGTGGGAGGAGATGGGTGAAAGGAAGGATGGGAAGATTAATAGTAATAGTAATGCAGACTTTGTAAATAGTTGGACAGTGTTGGGGGAATTAGTTGTTTAGCAGAGCTTTATTTATTTAGAATAAACAAAAAACGAATTAGAATTATTTGTTTAGAATAAGAAAGAAATATACAACCACAACTATCTACAATTTGTCTTCTGTTTCTTACAAAAAAATTAGATCCATGTTCTATGCATTACACATATGTGGGTCAAAGCAATGTTTGATTAGTAATCTAAAATAACAGGCACTGCTAGTTTTCATAATAGTTCTTAATTAGTGAATCTTCTCCATCTTACCTCAAAGATAAATTTTGAACTTCCAAAATTTGTCTTCTGCTTCTGCCAAAAGTTATCAGGCTTGATTATCAGGGCAACATGAATTTCTGCAGGAAAGGCCTCCTGAAGAGTCTTCAGGAGAGGTTTGATCAGGTCCCACTTAGACCCCCTCATATCAATGATGACTGTGAAACCCCGTTTGCAGACATCTTCACTGTAGGGATTAAACATTGAATAAATTATATCTAGAGTAGGTCTTAGAAATATGAAGTTGACGTTAAACAGACATTTTATCTCTTCAGACTTGATTCATATATTCACAGATTGCAGATCAATAACCATTGTTCTGTTCCTAAATATGCTCTTCTACAATATTAAAGCATTAACTGAACAACTTGTGCATTTGCTCAATGGCCTGTGCATTAATTTACCTTTAGATTAATCACATGATATAATTCATTGTGACTCACTATACAAGAGAGTTTAAGTGCTAGTTTCCTCAATATCATGAAGTGAGTTTTTAAGTGTGAATGAATTTGATACTATGCCTCTCTTCAAAAAATCTAGCGGACCTTGAAACAATATACTTAACATGCAGTGAACCAATTTTTCCAAGTCTAGTAGTTTTATTAGCTTAAAGATATCATCAGACTAATGGCAAACATTTGTGTCATTTGTGTAATGACATCATTAAGCTGATTATATGGTGGCATACTTTTGCACTTCAAAAGACATTTGTAAATAACAGAACCCTCTCTCTTAATTAGACTGTTAAAATAACATATCTCTGAATTATCTAGAATTTGCAAAACACACACAGTCAATCTTTATTATTCATGCATTCCATGTTTGTAAATTCACTCTCTTCACAAAAACTGGTTTATATTTATTGAGGTTTTTACAGAAAGTAAAGTAAAAGGCATATCTAAAAAAGGAAAAGAAGGAAGTGCAAGGAAAAAAAAGAACTTAAAGTTATAAGCTGTTTGTCAAACATCCAAAATGCAACCACTGGATCACAGGGCTGGGAGGGAGGGGTGCCTGTCAGAACTTCACAATCAGGACATAAGTACCTTTGGGAGGATCTGTTGTAACTTTGAACGATTGCAAAGCGACCTATCACTAAGCAAGAACTATCTGTATCAGAAGATGGGATACAGCTCTACAGGAAGCTGTGCTTAACATTGCTTAGAGTCAAAACAACACAGACTTTTACACGAATAACCCCGGATAACATCAATATTATATTGATCAAAATTCTTATGCATAAGAGTTGCAAAGATATATAGCTCCAATACTAAAATGATATATAGCTACAATATTGCAATAGCACAGATTTTAAAATTAATAACTAAGATGCTGCATTCAGTTGCTGATGCTCAAATGCTGTAAGGCCATAATGAAAGCTTAACTAACTGTATATATTTTTTTAGAAAAGTTTTAAACATGGGAACACTGTAACCTGATCTGAAGATCTGTCATCTTCTCACAATTGTTATACCAACCATTGTATCTACTAATCTATAAATTTTATTTTCTAAATAAGTGGCAATTAGCAGGAGGCAATTTTGCCAGTGGCAAATTACCCAGAATTAACTAATAATATCCCACAAGTGGCTTCAGATATTGCATGCTAAAATTTGCCCAATAAGTTGTAGAAAAACAGCGTACAATTAACGTGATGCCAGGCAGTTCAGATGCAGCCATTAAAATACAGGACTCAGGGTGGGGGGTATTCTAGGGGTTTCCAAGCTTGGCAATTTTAAGCTCCAGGCTGGGGAATTCTGGGAGTTGAAGTCCATCAGGCTTAACGTTGCCAAGATTGGAGACCCCTGTTCTAAGGGGAATGCCATTGTCCTAATTAAAGAATTAACCGAGTACAAAATTGCCTTTCTGAAATTGAGAGAAGCAGCTCTGCCACAGCAATGACATTTCGGAAAAACAATGATTTTAGATTATATATAACAAAAACTTCTCAAATATTTCTGTATTCTGAGAATATCTGCTTCTATATATCAAAATGAACTGTCCCCGGTGAAACCTGAAATGACATCTCTCTACCTTCACGCCTTCCCTCCAAATTTAATTAACAATTACTTGAAGCCTCTAGGTAATCATCAAAATTTCAGGTATTACACATCTGCAAATATTTCTTTTTAATTTAGCCTTTGAGGTGCTGGTTAAAAAAACAGAAAGCCTAAAAGTGTTCTGACAAGAAATGTTAATCTAATCAAATGGCAATTACAAATGTTTCATCTTCAGAGCAAGACTTTGGAATGAAAAAGAAGTATTTTGAGTTTGAAACATCTCAGAATAGAAACATTTTCTAGACAATGATACTTTATCAGTATCTATTATTTATACAATGGATATGTATAAACATAAATAAATAAACATAAAAAGCATTAAGCATACATGAATAAATGCAAACTTCAGCTGTGACCTGATATTTTATTTTAAATCAATGCTGAAAACCAAGATTGGGTCAAGTAGTAATCCTTCAAAGTTTTGAAATCTCTTCCCAACTAAGAAATTTCCTTGGATTTTTATCTAACTAAAGACATTGCTTCAATCTAACTTATTAACATGGAAGTATTTATCATCTTCACAGTGACATAAACGTTATGGGCTACGTCCAGGAAGTTCAGTGTCCAGTGGTGCAGGATTTTTGTGGTTTTGGTTTTATTGTTCTCTCTTTTTATTCTTTGTATATATTAGTTTATTCTTTTGCTGAGACACACCTAGCATTTGGTTTTAAAAGAGACAGTTCTTTATTTATTTTAGTATTTAACCTTTATTATTTTTATAAATAACCCAAGGCAGCAAATATACCTTTTTTTCTCCTTTTTCCCATCATAACCACTTTGTAAAGGGAGTTGGACTGACAGAGAATAAATGGCCCAAAGTTACCCAGACAACTTTAACTCTTAACTCATAGTCTCTTGATTTCTATCCTAATGTCCTGATCACTACACCACACTGACTCTCCAATCTGTCTTCACTTAAATTTTTAAATCAAGGGTCTTCAAACTTGGCAAGTTTAAGACTTGTGGACTTCAACTCCCAGAATTCCTGAGCTAACATGACTGGAGGAGGAATTCTGGGAGTTGAAGTCCACAAGTCTTAAAACTGTCAAGTTTGAAGACCCCTGTTTTAAATAAATAAATTAATACTAACCTCAGTAGGATCCAAAAATATCATTATAGATATTTCAACCAAGTTAGTATCTCAAATTAAAAAAATAATAATCGAGTAAATATTATGAATTAACCCCAAGCTATGGTTGATAGAAATGCCCCATGCAGAGCAAAAGATGTACTTGATGGGTTTTTTTTTTGAGAGGTGAATATGGTACTCATGTGGAGACTACTTACCATGCAGATAATAAAAGTCTGGAATTTTAAATAAATTCCAGGGAAGGGTGATACGGTGCTGATACATTTCTCTAGAGACTACTACCTTAGTATCCCTTTCTCATCTAGTATCTTTTTTCATCTGAGTCATTTGGCAGCAATAAAAAGGATCATGATTGAAGCAAAATCAATGCAGAATTGCTACTTACTGGGAAATTAACTGCTAGAAGTAGTGTGCCCTTCAGAGGAAGACACTGATGGACATGGGGTTAACTGAGAGCATATCAGAGGATGTAACTGAGTATAACTGACGATAAAATTCTAGCTATTACAAATCATTTATTTGCAGCACAAAAAACCAAGACATTACAATTAATGTATCCCTAAACCCTCAAGAACACCACACCAACAATGCAGGTGTGATAATGCAATGATAATGGAATTCAACTAAAGAACAGGTTTAAGTGGAAACAAAAATGTCTATGTTTCTGATACAATTCATGCCACCATAATCCAAGAAAAGTAAATAGTCATTTCAACCTAATTATCAGAAATTTTAAATTGAAATTAGATATTACACAAAAAGTAAGGGAGAAATGTCATATGAATGAGAATATCACGTCAATGGTATTAAATTAATGGAGAATTGAATAATTGCCCTGTTTAATTTTTGTGCCAATAATTAATCTGTAGGAAAAGAAGAAGTATTCAATAAAGCAAGTAAATCTCCTTACTGGAAAATCAATGCCTTTTTAAAAATTATTTTTGGATTCTTTATTGCATCATTTAATATAGCAGGTCTGATAAAACTATTTTTATTCTTCAATGATGTTACGTTTCCTCCTGAATTCACTTTTTCTCATTAAAACTGTCTTCCCAACACTGATTCTTGTGAATATACAACCACAAATATGCCTAACAAACAGGGAGATTCTTTTAAGTGGGATTCCAATGTCCAACCAATTTCCTTCTATTCAGGGATTCACTTCTCAGCGCATTTCCGTATTCCATCTACCATTTTTTTTCCACAATGCAAATCGTTTATTTATTATTTTTTTGCCAAGATAAACTGGATAAATCAACAGGACAAGGTTTAGCTGCTCTCGCTTAAGGTGAGCTTGTCAAAGAGGTATTCTCCCATGCCATTCTGGGGCAGCCCCAGGCGCTTCAAATTGGTACAGTGGTCTCCCAGGAGCTTGATGGCCTTCACTTGTTTTTCCAGGAATTCATTCTCCAGAAAGTCAGAGAGATGAGGGTCTACTTTCTCAGTTGCCAGCTTGTGCAGATCCAGCAAAGCCTGGCTGACCTCTTTCTCCAGCTGCAGGGCATGTTCCAAAGCATCTAAACTGTTGCCCCATTCGTCCTTCTCTGGCTTCTTGATATCCTTCAACACAATATGTCCTCCTCGCTTGTTTTGGTATTTCAGAAACTTGTCAGCATGTTGTCTCTCTTCCTGGGATTGTTCCTTCAAGAACTTGGCCAGATGGCTCAAGGCTACATCATCACGGTCAAAGTGATAGGCCAAGGACAAGTAGACATAGCTAGCATGGAGCTCAATGTTCACCAAATGGTTTACAGCAGCCTCACATTCAGCATGGTAGTTCTGACGGATTTGAGAAGTCATCATGAGAAGAAGAGGTTCTTCCAAAAGTTCAGAGGGTCAATGGGTCCCATCTACCATTTTAATGCTTCTGATTTTGACCCGGGATGTGTGTTTTTATCATCTATCCCACAGTTAAGAACACCTTCCTTCCCTGGTTTTTTTTCTAAGAGACTCCTTTCAGTACATTTTTAACAATGTACTTTTGACTCTCAAAATAGCCTTTCAGTATTATTGCTGTCTCCCCAAAGGGACAGAACATCT